AGACTGAAGAGGATGACATGCCCCTACGAGCCCGGTATGATTCATTAGAGGAGGAGGACAATTCACAAGTCCCTCCTCCCACATTCGAGTTGGAGCATTCACCTCCAAGTCCATCGCACTGCTTTAAGAAGGGGATAGTACTTTACTCGGCTTGCTCCATTGACGTGCCGTTGGTTATCGAGGTTCACGAGAGATCTCGGCTGGGGAAGGTTTTGTTCCAAACATTGGGGAATGCTCGTGATCAGACAAATTGCACCCAGAACATAGCCACTCGCGTCCACAGTGCCCGCCATCTGGCCTTAGTGCCAGCACTACCACTTCTCGAGAATACAAAGGCGTGGCACGATCATCACTTTTTTCTTGATCCTGTATGAGTTCACTTCAGGTTTCGTCAAGCTAATGACGTAAAACGAGCGATTATTGGGAGGCAACCCAAGTGAAATTTATTGCTTTCTTTGTTATTTTTCTTTATGCATTATTAGTTTTTATGCTTGAATAATGGAATTTTTGGAGTTTCTTGTGTTTTGTCTTCTCAGGGCAATTGAGGGCGGCGCTAAGCATAGGGGGCAACTTACACGTGGATGCTTATCCTCCTCGAGGATTTCGGTTTGCACACTCTTTTCTTATTTTCTCTTTTTGAGTTGTTTCTTTCTTTTATCTTTTCTTTTGAGTTTGTGTCTTGTGTTAGCTGTTGGTTTGGTTCATTATATGAATGCTAGGTCCTATTATGTGACTTCCGGTTTTGTGTTGAAGCAATGAGGTCATTGCCTCATTCTAAGTGTGGGGGAGTCTATTTGGATTTTGCATGCTTATGTGGTGGATCGGTCTAGCTTTAGGATTTTGTTTTGTTGAGCATGGTATTGCTGGATTATATGAATTATTGATGAATGTTTGATGAAATTGGGAAGTTGTGATGATGGACGTGTGGTCATTGCCTCGATATATGCTTGATTGCTTTGAGTGACATTTGTTTACCTTGTGAGGTTTTGAGTCTTATTCTTTTCTTGTGAGATTTTGGTCGTATTCTTGAATGATTAGAACTTGCATTGAGTTTGTTTGAAAGGAATTGATTAGAGTTTAAAATTGCGAAAGTAATTGAGGTGTTCTGTTGATTAGCCCTTTTTCTGCCTTGTTCCTTTGTCCTAAAACTTATTCCACTAGTAGCCCTTTGAGCTTAAAACCTTTTCTTGTCAACCTATTGACGGATTTGTGTCATGATTGGGGGATTGGTGGCATTGTTGAATATGGTGGATATTGAGTTGCGTTGTTATTTGCTTGGCCAGTTAAAAAAAATAATAATAAATAAAAAAAGAATAAAAAAACAAACATGAGAGCTCACAGGACGAATTGAATGGATTCTGCTCCTCTTACTAGTCGATTCACGTTGACGGGTAATGAGCATTGGGAGGCTACTATAGGACACTTGGATGACCTCCAATGTTTAAACCTAAATAATGTTGTCCTTTTGATTCGATCTTGTTCGGAAAAAGTTACTCTCCGAATAAAAAAAAGATATTTATAAAAAAAAGAAAAAGAAAAAAAAAAGAAAAACTGAGTCAAGTGATGTTGCAATTCGATTAGAGCAGTGAGATGTTGTTTGTGGAGTTATTTGGTGGATGGTGAATGTGTTATATTGTTATTCCAGATTGGTAGCGGAGAACTCGAGTAATTTATTTTCTCGAGAATTTTGTTGTTTATTTGAGCTACTTTTCTGGCATATATATCCTTCCTTAAACCCGCATTACAACCCGTGAAATCCTCTTGATTCGCATGTTTTGAGCTTTGATTGTCTTCGAGTAATATAAACGATTGACAATCATATGTTGAAACTTGAATATTGACCAATTTCGAGCGTACCTATCATATGTTCATGCAAGAAAAATGAGTGAGGCATATATGATGATCTATGATTTGAGAGTTTGTCATTTCTGAGGTCAAGTTAATATTTGAGGCATATGATCGTGCGTTCGTTGGAATTCGACTCAATTGAATTGGGCATTTTGAGACTCTTGTTATTTGAAACCGTATCCATGCTCGTGCCTTGTTTTGTTTTCTTTTTGTTCGGGATGAACAAAGGAGTAAGTGTGGAATTTGTCCCATTTTTGTTGCATTTTTCGTTGTTATTTTTCTTTTCTTTTTCCCCCAT